CCATACTGCCCAAAGTAATTCATAGATTCAATGCTATCATCTTTAAGCTTCCGTGGACTTACTGACTTACTTCACAGAATTGGAAAAAATCCGCCTTAAACTTCATATGGAATCAAAAGAGAGCCTACATCTCCAAGACAATGCTAAGCAAAAGAAACAAAGCTGGAGGCATCACACTACCTGACTTCAAACTATACTACAAAGCTACAGTAATCAAAACATAGTGGTAGTGGTACCAAAACAGAGATAAAGACAAATGGAACAGAACAGAGGCCTCAGAAGTAGCACCACTTATCTACAACCATCTGATCTGTGATGAGCCTGACAAAAACAAGAAATGGGGAAAGGATTCCCTATTTAATAAATGGTGTTGGAAAACTGGCTAGCCATAAGCAGAAAGCTGAAACTGGATCCCTTTCTTACACCTTATACAAAAAATAACTCCAGATGGATTAAAGATTTAAACATAAGACCTAACACCACAAAAACCCTAGAAGAAAACCTAAGCAATACCATTCAAGACATAGGCATAGGCAAGGACTTTATGACAAAAACACCAAAAGCAATGGCAACAAAAGACAGACAAATGGGATCTAATTAAACTCAAGAGCTTCTGCACACACACAAAAACTACCATTAGAGTGAACCGGCACCCAACAGAATGGGAAAAAATTTTTGCAATCTACCCATTTGACAAAGGTCTAATATCCAGAATATACAAAGAACTTAAACAAATTTACAAGAAAGAAACAAACAACCCTATCAAAAATTGGATGAAGGATATGAACAGACACTTCTCAAGACATTTATGCAGCCCACAAACACATGAAAAAAAGCTCATCATCTTTTTTTAGAGAAATGCAAATAAAAATCACATTGAGATACCATCTCATGCCAGTTAGAAAGGTGATCATTAAAAAATCAGGAGACAATAGATTCTGGAGAGGATGTGGAGAAATAGGAATGCTTTTACACTGTTGGTGGGAGTGTAAATGGGTTCAACCATTGTGGAAGATGGTGTGGGAATTCCTCAAGGATATAGAACTAGAAATACCATTTGACCCAACAATCCCATTACTGTGTATATACCCAAAAGATTATAAAACATTCAATTATAAAGACACATGCACATGTATGTTTATTGAGGCACTGTTTATAACAGCAAAGACTTGGAACCAACCCAAATGCCCATCAACGATAGACTGGATAAAGAAAATGTGGCACATATATACCATGGAATATTATGCAGCCCTAAAGAAGGATGAGTTCGTGTCCTTTGAAGGGGCATGGATGAAGCTGGAAACCATCATTCACAGCTAACTGACACAAGAACAGAAAACCAAACACCACATATTCTCATTCATAAGTGGGTGTTGAACAATGAGAACAAATGGACACAGGGAGGGGAACATCACTCACTGGGGTCTGTTGCAGGGTCGGGGGCTAGGGGAGTGATAGCAGGGGTGGAGATGTTGGGGAAGGATAACAATAGGAGAAACACCTAATGTAAGTGACGGGGGGATGAAGGCAGCAAACCACCATGGCAGGTGTATACCTATGTAATAAACCTGCACGATCTGCACATGTACCCCAGAACTTAAAGTAGCAACATAAGGACAAGGGCTAGATAAATATCATGTAAAGAAATATGCTTCTGGGTCATTTAATTATTCAAAGTGTCAGTGCATTTAATAGTCTATTGTGAAGAGCACTACCATGGAGAGAACAAACAAAAGGGAAAATACTTTCACTTTTACTATTGTATATTTACTATTGTAAAGGAGAAAATCAATAGATTAACTTTACACTTCCCAGATAGTTCAATTGGTAGGAGAACCCAAAATATGGAGCATTTGTGATCCATGTCCTTTATATTACCTTATTGTGAAATTATACCATCTTAGAGATGAGAAACTTGGAGTGTTTATAATAGAGTATGTTATTTTCCCACTGCTAGTACTTTGTAACTAAGTCTATATTTTCACCCAAGCCTTATCGCCCCTTATCGTGCTCCCCACTAAGCCACTTGGATAGAAGGAAGTGTGTATGCAGGCACATTCGATATCATAGCGTCTCGTACAACTGCAAGAGATGAGCAGTCCATTTGAACTCTCAGCTTCCAAAAAGTCAAACCAGTAAGTACCTGACAAGTTTTAGTTCTCTAGTTTTTCCAACAAATGTTTATTTAGTACCGTTTCTATGTCAGACACTGTGTTAGCCACTAGAAAGAGAATACAGGTCAAACATGTGTGGTTCCTGCTTTTTGTGTTCCAGCCTTGCCTCATATATTCATGGCTTCATGGAAATACCATGGTCTTTCCTCTTAGTCCTCATCAAAATGATGAAATACAACATTAAGCAAGTGCTATGTTTAGTTTTGTTTTCTGATAAGAATATAAGAATGATAAGGGTGATCTTATTTTTACTGCTATAACCTAGAACTGTTTCTGACTCCATAATTATGCTCCAATAAATGATTAAAGAAATTAAACCTAAATATGTAATTAAAACTATGGAAAGAGGCATGCTGGTTTTATAAGGGGAAGGAGAAAATGCCAAGTAGCTTCAGAAATGAAGAAGAGACCTGAAAACAGAGACTGATTGGAAAGAATACTTGAAAACTTTGGCTACAAATGGGAAGAACAAGATAAGATAGCTTTAAAGAAATGAGGGGCCTGGCTCAGTGGCTCACCCATGTAATCCCAGCACTTTGGGAGGCTGAGGTGGGTGGACCATGAGGTCAAGAGATTGAGACCATTCTGGCCAACATAGTAAAACCTTGTCTCCACTAAAAATACAGAAATTGGCCTGGTATGGTGGCACGCACCTGTAGTCCCAGCTACTCAGGAGGCTAAGGCAGGAGAATCAGAGAATCACTTGAACTGAGGAGGCAGAGATTGCAGTGAGCCGAGATTCATGCCACTGAACTCTAGCCTGGAGACAGAGTAAAGAAGAAAAGAAAAAGAAAAGAAAAAAGACATTTAAAAAATTTATTTTTTAACTTTGCTATTTTTTTTTTCCTTAGGGTAGAAGTGTCAATAGGCTTAACTGTTGATTAGAAGTATGGCGGATGCTACTGGTCATACAAAATTATTCTCTTCTTTTATTAAAAAGTGTTAGCTGAGTATATGCCCACTGTGTTAGAGACTAAATTTCTAAACTTTCCTTGTAGGTAAGTGTGGCCGCAAACTCTAGCCAGTGTTATATGAATGACAGTGACCTTTGCAACCTCCACAAGTCTTAGTTAAAAGCAAATTTTGATAACACTATTTTATCAGTACCGTCAGATCCTACTATTTGAGGTCAATTCTCAAATAAGATTTCTGCATGCAGACATGTGTTAGAAACAATGAAAATCAATGTTAAGATGCACCATTTCTCTTGAGATAAAAAATAAAGTAAAATCCAACTGTTTCTAAAATTAAAAAAAAAAAAAAGCAAATTTTGTGTTCTCCACTTCTTCCTTTTCCCTTTTCACAGGCTATAAAGTGGTAAAGTCATGGTGACTTAATTCTATCATATGAAAGGTCAGTGAATATATCAGAGACGGCCTACATTCATCCCCACACCAACTAGGTAAACGAGAAATAAAACGTTTTTATTTTAGAATCTCTTTTTCCCACATTTCTTTAGCTTACATTTCTAGTCTAGGAAGGATCAAGTGGAGGGAAAACATAGAGGCACCATAGTTAAAAAACTAAATAAGTAAGGTTCATAAGAAATTGTAAAAATAAAGAATCAGACTGTATATTGCATATATTAAAATACTACATGTAGAGCAATCTTTCCTGGCTCTGACACTTGAGAGAAATTTCTTTTGAGATCCTCATATCTTCAAGAAATATTGAAGAACATTTTAAAATACATAGATTGCATTTTATACAACTGCTTATTTTATTATTCCTCACTGCCTATATATGAACTAATGCTAAAACCTTATTTAATAAATATGCCTCTGTGAATCTAAATTTATATAGATACAGCTCTATTAATTGGTAAGAATACAGACTTCACAGGATATTTGTATAATAAAACTGGGCAACATGCAGGAGAAAGTTTAGTACTAGAAGAATGAGGATGCTGTTAAGGGTAAAGATATTTTAAGCATATATTGCGGGTCCTGCACAATATTATGCAATTTAACTATATTAGTTTATTTAATAGTGATAATGATCCTCAGAGATAAATTTTATTAAATTAGAGTTTTAGAAATGTAGAGTCAGAGAAGCTGTGTATTTTTCCATGGTCAAACAGCTATTCAGTGGTTTATACAGAGTTCAGAGATTAAATGTCTAATTTCTAATTCTCTGCATATATTGAGGGAATGTGTTCTCTTTCTGGGTCCACAAGATGGTGTAGTTTCTAGGGCAAGAACTTCCCAGCACCATATTTTCTCCCCCTCCCATCCGTCTTCATCTGGGAAATTTAACCATTTGTCTTTAAACTTCAGGAGCATGGGAAGAAACTAAAAGTCAATCACTCCAGCGGAAGTTCTAAGGAACTCCTTTCACTGGCCAGAGGTCTTAGAGAAGGTGCGGGTGCCTCCCAGGTTAAAAGTCCACTTCTTCCACACCCCTTCAGACTCCATGTTTGGATCCCCTTCCACCCTCGTGGAAGCTGTCTTCCCCTCTCCTGGATTTTCCTTCTGGAGTCCCCTTCCACACTCTCTCGTGGAAGCCTGTCTTCCCCTCCTAAACTCCATCTCTCTCCATTCCCTTCCACTCAGTGTGGAAGCTGCTTTCCTCTCCTGGATTCCATCTTTCTGGGTTCTCTCACTCAGTGTGAGAGTCAGCTGTTTCTTTCTCTCTCCTTCTCCTGTTTTTCTGTTTAAATAAATCACTTTCTCCAAACACTTTTAAGTCCAGCATTTACCTTTATGAGCGCACTGTGCCGAGGTCTCCTCTGTCATTCTTGAGAGGGCAATAGACTAAGAATCTGGAGAAATGTCCTCTCAGGGGAACTAAGGGCACCCCTGAACCCCTAAACCCCAATATAACATAATGACAAGCCAGCCAGGAGAGGGGTACACCAGGAGAGGAGTACAGCCAGAAAAGGGGTACAGCTGGAGAAGAAGGCTTCAAAATCGTAATTAAAACTGGCCCCACTCTGTCGTGTCTCTTTAAGAACACCTGAAGCAGCCGCAGCCAGGGAGGGCTGCGCAAACCCCAGGCGTGGTGCCTCAGAGGCACAACCCAGCCGGTCTTAAGTGGCGTGGCCCAGCCAGAATTAAAAGCGCAGTTTTTTTTTTACCTCCAAGCTCTCTCTCTGCTTTCCCTCTCCTTCTCTGTCCTTCAGATATTATCTCTGGGAGCAGAACCTGTGGGAGCCTGTGGGGTGGAAAGGGTAAGCGCCCCCCACTTTCCGCTCCTTGTCTGCCTGGAGCAGCCCAGCCCCAGTCGGAACCTAATGTGCGCAAAGGTCCGCAGGAAAAAACAGCCGGGTGGGGCAAGGAACAGCCCAAGCCTGCAGGGGACCGGGGAGCACGGCAGCCTGGCGCACCGTTCTGGCAGTCCTCTCCAGCATTCTCCAGTCCCAGGCAGCAGGGTAAAAAGGCTCCCCAGGGCGTTCGCCAACGGGTCCCTGTGTGGGCAGGGCTGAGGGAGTAGCCCAGGGTGCGCACATGGTCCCGGCAGCATGGCGAAGGGAACACCTTGGGGGCATGGCAGGCTATATCGCCTCAGGCACCAGGCAGTGTAAAACGGCACCCAAACGGGCGGGGTGGTGCAGAGGCCTGGCTTTTAAACTAATGCAGCAAGTGGCTTTAAGTTCTAGGTTATAGCAGTGAAAATAGCCCTTATTTTGGTTATTTTGATAAGCACCCCTTAACATTCTTTTATTCTTATTAGAAAACAAAACTAAACATAACACTTGCTTAATGTTGTATTTCATCATTTTGATGAGGACTGAGAGGAAAGACCATGGTATTTCCATGAAGCCATGAGGCAAGGCTGGAACACAAAAAGCAGGAACCACACGTTTGACCTGTATTTTCTTTCTAGTGGCTAACACAGTGTCTGACATAGAAACGGTACTAAATAAACATTTGTTGGAAAAACTAGAGAACTAAAACTTGTCAGGTACTTACTGGTTTGACTTTTTGGAAGCTGAGAGTTCAAATGGACTGCTCATCTCTTGCAGTTGTACGAGACGCTATGCTATCGAATGTCCCTGCATACACACTTCCTTCTATCCAAGTGGCTTAGTGGGGAGCACGATAAGGGGCGATAAGGCTTGGGTGAAAATATAGACTTAGTTACAAAGTACTAGCAGTGGGAAAGTAACATACTCTATTATAAACACTCCAAGCTTCTCAACTCTAAGATGGTATAATTTCACAATAAGGTAATATAAAGGACATGGATCACAAATGCTCCATATTTTGGGCTCTCCTACCAATTGAACTATCTGGGAAGTGTAAAGTTAATCTATTGATTTTCTCCTTTACAATAGTAAATACACAATAGTAAAAGTGAAGATATTTTCCCTTTTGAGATTTGTTCTGTCTATGGTAGTGCTCTTCACAATCGACTATTAAATGCACTGACACTTTGAATAATTAAATGACCCAGAAGCATATTTCTTTACATGATATTTATCTAGCACTTGTCCTTATGTTGTCACATCTACATTTTTTTCTTTCTAGTTGAAAATATATAGCCAAAGTTTCTTTAAAACAGAGTGAATAAGTTGGGTTTGTTTATAATTGTGCATTATAGAATCTTCTCTTTCCTACTTTTATTATTGAAGCTTCCCAAATTATATATATAGTTTTATAGTTATTTATATATATATATATATATATAACTCTCTATATAATATACTACAATTATATATAAACTATACATATATATATAATAGTTTTGCCTTAGGCATGATTATATAATATTATTCCATATATATGATCTTAAATGAATAATTCTATACATTTTAATCTGTTGTATGAACTACAGAAAAATAATCTCATCTGAAAATTTATTTCTCTAGTTTTTTAAAAATGAGCATGGTAATAGTTAATAAAATTCTTAATTGTGTTCTTAACTGATGGTAACAGAGAAAGGTTATGTGACATAGAACTACCCCCTTTTATATCAAGCAGCTGAATAGAGTTTGACTTTATTTATTAAGTGTACATTATAACATGATGGTGCAAAGGAATAAAATTATTATATCGTTATATATGTGCCAGCTTAAATTAAACTTTATAATAACCTATGGAAAATATACCTTTTATATTACCATAGTCTCTCACTCAAAACAGTTTTCTTGGCTTTTCTTTGCTACCTTCTTCTCTTTCCTTACTAGTCAGCATTATCATTGCAATACACTTGAAAATTCCAGTTTTCTGGATCAATATATCTGTCTGTTTCATTTTGCTTAAATCCTTCTACACACTGGTGCAGGCCAGCAGAGTCACATAAGCACTGTCACATGCTTTTTTTGTTGCTAAGGGCAACACTACAGATGGCAAAAACTGGCAATTGTATGTCATGTTACACAAGCAAACACATGACGGTTGAAAACAGCTTAAACCTTTCAAAGGAAGTTTGCCTTTAAGTTGTATGATTTTATATGCCATGTAATCATGTGGCCTTTAAAATATGGTCCTAAATTAAGTTAAATAAAATTTATTTCCTCTCTATGTTATTATGTAATCAATTCATTACCTCTATGTCTAGGCTAAATGGAGAGTCAAAACAGGATTCATAAGAAACCTTTGCCTAAATAATGAGAATAGACTGTATAAACTCCTTGATTCTTCAGTGCTATTTCTCCTGATTTTATATAGTAAATTGTATTCAACTTCATTTAAAAGTCAACAGAAAATATATAAAATATCTGAAATACAATGTCATATGTAGAAAAGAATATGGTCAGGTAGATATTAAGCTTTAATCTTTAATTTTCATATCTCTGCATGGTTCATTGTACATGATGTTTCTCCAGTGATTTTACGTCAAGTAAGTGTGGTTCAGTCTTGGTGATCTCACATATTTTTAAAAAAATAATTACTATTCAAGATGCACATATACATATATGAAAACCTAAATATATTTAAGTAGATGACAGTTATGTTACAAATACATGTAAGCATATAAAATGATATAAAATATTTTAAAATTCTAAATTCAGCTTTGTTCCTATTTTTTTTCTTTCAGTGTAAAGAAATCATTATTTCATGGATCAGTAATTCTTAGTGTAAAGTTTTGTCTGAATTTTGTTCATTCTGAACAGTTGTCAATCATTTTGGTGAACAAAATTGAACAGATTCTCTAAGAAGAAAAACAGAATGTGATTTTCACTTAACAAAAGTTGAACTGAAAAGCTGAAGCAATTTTTCAGGTAACTAAAGGGAGAGAGGATAGAGCACATTAACTAACCTAACTCACTGAGGCATTACTCAATTGCTATTGCAGATATAAATTAATAATGTTATTTAAATAATGAAATCATTGGAAACTTCTAAGCATTTGATGGCACAAAAAGGGAATTTGGTTTCCAGATGTCATTTGTCTATATCTATATTACATCTATGTTCTTCAGTTTTTGGTAATGTTGAATGAAAATGGATTTAAGTCAGAAATTAGGATTTGAATTTCTCCTCCCTCACCACCTGGCAATATTTGATCTCACTTAACCTCTCTGAGTCTCAGTTTCTTCATATGTAAAATAGAAAATCACATGGGATTAGAACATTTATGTGCAAATATATTTTTAAATAATATATTTTCACATATATTTGTGTTATTTCGTTATTAGGTACTGACTTACTGTTTTAGGACTTTGGTAGATTTAGCATTTACACAGGAAAAAAAAAAAAGAGAGAGAGAGAGAAAGCAGGCCAAAATGAAAAACAAAAACAGAGGAAAAAATACCCACAAACTAGCATCAACAATATAATCTAACTTTTGAAATTATTGTCTAATAGAATACTTTGAAATATTATCAAACTGATAAATGTGCATATGTATTTGTTTCTTTATGTAGTTGGAGGATGTATTGCAAATATAATAAGTGAAGGCATTTAAAACAAGGATATTAGCTGGTTGTAGTGGTGCACACCAGTAGTCCCAGGTACTCTGGAGGCTGAGGTGGGAGGATCACCTGAGCCCAGGATCCAGAGGTTGTGATAAGCCTAGATGGTGCACCACTGCACTCCAGCTTGGGTGACAGAGTGAGACCCTGTCTCAAAAAATAAAGATAAAATAGGGATAAATTTTATTCAGTTATTTATTATAGGGAATAATAATGTCATTTGGAACTATCTTAGAAAATATGCTTTTACTTTACTTTGCCTATTCAGATATAATTTTCCATAAGAGCCCTTCATTAAAATTAAGAAAATTGAACTATTTAATGGCATCCATTTTACTAATCAGTCTGCACTTCTTTTAGCTAATTGAATTGAAAATAAAAATAATATATGTATTCAAATATTTGATTTGGTTATACAGGCAAAGAACCATAAATCTGAGAGATCTAATGGTCTTAGGAGATCAGCTCTGTCACATGCTGTAACCATTATCAATTACATGCTATAAATGACACAATCTGAACAAGATTGTGAAATGATTTGGCTCAAGATAAAAACCTTAAATAGCAGAAGCAGGATTATAATTCATATTTTTATAATTTGTAAACATCATTAATAAAGTCATAAAAATAATGTAGATGATTCAAACCTAATTCCATCCTCTTACTTAGCTCCTTTGTTATTTTGACTATTTTACTAATAAAGTCACTGAATTTCTCACTTTGTTTTCCTTAAGAGATGATCTCACTTTTTTGCAAAAAAAAGATAAGTTGGGGATGCTAGTTTTAGGCACCTGACCCCCGTGCAGCCACCTAAACATACTGTAAACTGTGGAGATTACAAAATTTTATCACATTTTCTTGGGACTCTTTAGGAGTTTTTCTTTCTGCCAGGGATACTGTCTCTTTTGTGTTCTGTGTTTTATCTCAGATCGATACAGATGTGAATCTTGGCCCCTTCAATGGTCTGCATACACAATCCACTTGGACCAAATATTTAATGGGCTTCCATGTGCTCAACTGGAGATTTGGGAGGAGTCATTGCTATAGCAGGTTACAATCTCTCATGCCCTGTCCCCTTACTGTTCCCTTCCAACTCCTGGCTTGGCCCCTAGCTCTTCCTACTAAATTTCCCTTCTGGAGTGCCTAACATTTCTTCAGTGTTGATGGACAAGTTGGTTCTTTCTGGCCCCTGAACTCAAATTTGCATTTCAAAACCCACAAAGAGCTCAGTATCTAAGATCTCCAGTATGTAACTTTTCTGTTTTAAAAGAATTTGGCGATGAAGCTCTACTTAAAACACACAGGCTCACCCAACAGCAACAGCAACAAACAAAACCCAACAAACAAAACAGAGGTACAGAATAGTTTGGCAGTAGTTAACTAATTCTGGTTCTAGGCTCTGCTTAGGGTTTGAGGTCAGGAATGTAGTCCCTGGAGTTTCTGTTTTAGATGAAGCTAAGGCTCTGAGCTCTATCAGTCTGAAATTCCTCTCATTAGTCACATCTCCATTCCAACCCCAAAGCTCAGTTATCTCCTCAATCGGAGCTATGG